CAACGGAAGCCAGCGCCATTAAATCAGTTTAAAGAAGCTGATCGGAAAGAAGAGAAATGTTCTTAAACTTGATGAAGCTGCATCCACTTGAAGAAAAGAAACTGACCCTGGTAAGTTAACTGGCAACAACATAAGATAAAGAAAGAAGACACGAGAATTTGGCCCCTTGCTCCTCTACTCTCAGGAGTGACGTCTGCACTTGCACAGGTTCCTTCCTTCAAAGGCACTGGGAGCAGGAATTTAACACTAGAAAATGTTTGAGTGGTAGCCAGTCAAATTCAGAGTGAGTGTTCAAAGAAAATAAGCTCATAGAAAAGTGAAGAAACTGCATCAGCCTTGGCTGAGGGGGAGCTTTGGTGGGTTTTGGGGTTGTACTTGAGGATCTTAAAGGTCTTTTCCAACCAAAAAAATTCTACGATTCTATGATCCCCAGGCTAGCTGATCTCTTTTGCACACACTAGAAAAGGTTTGTCCTATCAATAGAGAAGTGTGAGTGAGTAGTAAGACAGAGATGACATTTCCAGTCAAAATAAATCAGGTTGAAACTCCAACTTTTCACTGCAGCATGTCATCTGCTGCTTAGGCTCACCTTTGCCACCTCTACTTTTCACCAGAAGACTAGAAGAAGCAAATATCCCGGCTTTTAAAGAAGTCGTTGGAGGCAAAGAGACTACAGACAAGTAGATCTACTGTGCAGTGTGAGCAGATGCTCACAAAGCTGTGATGAATGGCAGACCTGGTTGATGAATGGACAAATGATGTCCCAGGGGAGGCTAAATCCAACTTTTTCACAGGAAAATCACAACTCAGAAATACAGTTTCTGGACAAGTCAGCAAGATATGGGTGTTGGACATCTCCTTGTCAGCTGGGAAGGGTCTTTATGAAAGCTTGCAGGGGACAAACATCCATAGACTAGGGAGGAAGATCCTCACTTGGATAAATAAGTGGCTGCAAGAGAGAAAAAAGGAGGAAGATCACCCAGGGAGCTCACTGTGCTGACAGACATCTTGTAGAACATCTCATCTACATGCAGCAGGTGCCAAAGGTGGAAGCACAAAGAGAAGTTGGGAGAAGATCAGGGAACAGGACAAGGCACCATGTAAATCTGAGCTGTACCCACATCTCAGCTGTGTGGAGGTCCAGGTCTGGTCACCCAGCCCCAGGCAGGGACATGGCCTAAGCAGGAGAGGGAGAGAGAAGGATGAGAGGTACAGCTGGGAGGGCAGGAGGCTTGTTAAAGATTCAAGATCTGGAACAGCATCAAGAGGATGAATAAAGATATCGTGTCACATCACCAGCAAGCACCGCAGCCATTGGCTGTGAGTCTCCAAATTTCTCCTCACACATCAGAGGCTGGTCCAGCACCTCCCATGTCCCAACACCCCTCTGCTCTCTCCAGCAGCCAGTTAGGACCCAAGGGGCTGGGCTGATTCTGCTGCACCAACCTGGTCCCTGCCAGCCCCTCTCACCAGCGTGCTCCCACAGCTCCCGGCCAAAGAGCTGCAGGTGAAACCACTGCAACAAGCAAAAAAGTGTGCAGAGATGGGTGGTGGAGCTCCCCACTGCAGGATGCCACCAGTGCTGAGAAGATGCCACACCCCAGGAAGCCCTTCAGGGAAGAAAAGTCCCATGTCATTGTCACAGAATCCCAGACTGGTTTGGGTTGGAAGGGACCTTAAAGCTCATCCAGTCCCAACCCCCCTGCCAGCAGCAGGGACACCTTCCACTA